CTAAGCATAAGAACAATGACAAAGTTTGAGCATTTTACCAGCTGGATTTTACATCTGGTGCACCTTCGTTCACTTGATACAATTTACCAACTGGATTTATGTATGCTAGAACTATCCTTTTGTTTGTTAAATTAAAGGAGGGGAAGTGAACTTATGTGATTCCAGCACGTGCCTTGTAGAAAATAGCTGAATCAAAAGAAAATTAAGTACTTATGAAGTTGAATGAAAGTATATACTATTTACCAACTTCCAAAATTAATGAAATAGTAAGACACCCTTGATAATGCTCAATAATGTAGTGGGCTTGTGCTTTACACTCCCAAACCAGTGTCATCCCAAGCCAAGCATGCTACAACATAACCTAAAAACAATCAAACATTAATTTCATCTCCAGCTATCCAATAGAATCAAATCCAGCCATTATAACAAAACTAGTAATACCAACCTACCTAGTTAGCTCGGGGCCTTTTAGATAGCAAACCAAAATCTATCATACATAGCGTACGCAACATGCCGGAGATCAGGTGACAGTTTTGATAATTCCTCATAAGCATAACCTCGAATGAACTCAATAAAAGTGACATACCACCTAATGCAAAGAAAATGATGCAAACATAAAGTGTAAATAGAACTAAATGAAGAATTCAATACCTCCAAATCTTTCAGCTTCTTGATTGTAATCAAGCAGCTTCTACTCTATTTCTTATTGTGAAATCAAACCCAGATGATGGAGATTTATGAGATATAAACTCTTCATTTAAGCTTGCTAATCTTCAACATAATACTGAATATTGTTTTCCTTCTTCAATTCGCTTATAGTAGAACCGTTGCTGCATGACCAACCAAACAAATACTCTATACCAGGCTCAAAGGGAAAAAAGCATCAACGATACTCAATGAACAACAAGATCACTCTTCAGGTTCTTGCTTCAAATTTTTTGTTAGCTTAATCTTCTATTAGTGCATTTCTCAAGTAAATATCTATAAATCTTATAGCATTTGTATACTCCTTAAGAAAATAATGTATAGAATGGTTACAGTTAAAAACTTTGAAACCAAACTGTCAACATTTAAAATTTTAATTGATCGACAATGAAAACATTCTCTTGCTTTTGGCCTATCAAGAACCAAAATTTCTTCCTTCGAAACATTTATAAATTCATATTGTACTCAATGCCAGTGTCAAGATAAAAATGTGAGTAAGCAACTTCACATTGTTCTACAACAGTGGAGAAAGACTAAAATTGATATAAATCTGAAATACTTAGAAGTTATCGCACAATTGATTATTACCTTATTCAAATTCTCCTTAGCAAATTGAGTCGTTCAATTCATGGATTGAGATGAGAAATATTCTTGGTGTCAACCAAAGGAAAGCATTTGTTAGTTGAAAGGAATAAAAGGATCATAAATTAGTTTTAGCTCATTAGTATATTTCTGCAGCTGAAGTACATGATGTTACGGAAAAGAAAACCTTCATCTGCA